CATTCACTCCCATTTTTAGCAACTGTATTGTGCTTCACCTTTGACAATGCTGTGGAATGACAGTGATTTTTTTGTTGTTGTTGATATTATTAGACATAAGTCATTAATTTCCCTTTGAAAAAAAAATAACACATCTGTATGTTCGTTAGAGTCAATGAGCTGAAATCTTAACTGGAAATTTATGGTCTTACCTAATATTATCCAACATAAAAAGCTACTCTGTGAACTTCGTGAGGGATTCAATTTTACAAATAGAAAATATGGGGATTGAAACAATTTGTGCTCACATACAGATGGAAGTTATTATGAACTCTCGGAATTAACACACATTGTTTTGACTTCGGAATGTAACAGCAAAGCAAGTTTCTCCAAATAAATGCTCTACCAAGCTAGCACTGAGCTGCTTCTAATTCCAGCTGAATTCTTCTGAGTGCAAGATGTGGTTTTCATTGTTATTATCCTGCTGTTTTACAAAACAGTACCACTTTATCTCTAGAAAAGTTTTTATTTCAGTAATTTTACTTAATATCAACCCAGTCTCACTTCTTCCCCACTCACGTTTCTCCTTGCCACCAGAACTCCAGGTAATTGTGAAAGGAAAAAAAATAAAAATCTGGGAAACCAGGGAAGCTTATACAAATGCTTTCAAGTATTTCTTTATGATGATAAAAGTTTTTCTGGGCTCTTTGTTTCTCACCCACAGTGATCAAGACTTGCATGAATGATTCAAGTAAGGTGATGGAGACCCAAGCTCTTCTCGAACGCTCCAGTAGAGTCAGCACTGTTCCTCCTAGACACCTCCAATCTTTCCACAGCAGCCAGAGGGAATTAAGCAACCGATCCGCATTTATTCGCGACACAGTAATTTGCAGAACTGGTTCCTTGAATTAAGGCCAACACCTTTGGGCCTTAAGAGGATTCCCTCAAAGGTTGTGATGGTCTAAAAGATAAGAGGCAGCTGCTCACTCTCCATCCAAACTTATTTTCACACATTCACATGAACTAAGCATATCTGGAAGCTTCTCTTGAAGCAGCCTTAAGATCTTCTAAAAGCTACTTAAATTCAACAGTTCCAGCCTCCAATGGAGAACACAAAGGATTCAAACAATCTCAGATTTCTAAATCAAGTCAGCCCCTGAGTACAGATGTTTTGTGATGTATTTCTACGTGTTATCTACCTGTTCTGCTTTCACAATGGAATTTCCCCTTGGCAGAACTATAAAGAGCTGCAGTATTTGACCAAGGATATCAAAACAAAGGTGACTACAACAGTTTATATGGACTTCAGTAACACTTTCCTGATTAAATAAGTAGAAGCCCCCCAAAAATTACGATTTACTTTTATTATGTTTTTATATTCAACAGCATATGATCCAAGCATTAACATGTGAACCACTGGTGTTGCACAAACCACTTCAAAGTTTGGCCACTGACTACTCTAGCTTGTACCAGCACCAGTGACCTCATGTAATTTTGGAAACTTTTAATACAAATACGTACTTAAAGTCTTCATTTACTTTTATGAGTTTAAACACATGCCAGTGATTTCAGAAACCAACTGTAAGTACTTGGAAGGCAACACGGGTGAGTGATCATGTGTTCAACTGTTCGCAGTCATTTAGAAATAAGACAAGAACAAAATCAGAACGAGAGATTTCAGTAGGTCTAACAGTGGTAACATCTCAGAGGCGAGTCAAAGAGAAAAACAGGAAAACAAGTGAAGTGGTGACAGTTACTACAAAGAAAGATACTACAGGCACAAGTGCCAACTAACCCAGACTACAGGAAATAATGGAAAGGCTACCAACTTGAGCTCAATGAAAAGTTCGTCATTTCAAACAAGAAAGAAGCACAGAGCGCTTGCATCACGTAACTGAAGGGCAAACTCCAGAACAGGAACAAGAACATGAAAGGCTGAAAAGCAAAGCAAGCAGCATCATGACTCACAAGTTACAGAATGAACTAATGTATTTACGTAAGTAGAGATTAAGGAAAGCATTGATTTGATAGTAAAGGAGAGAGAAAGCTATCAAAGCTTTTGAAGGAAAGAGTATTTAATCCCTTTTTCTCACTAGTGTTCCCTATGAAAGTCAAGTGTGAACAGCTGGCTGCCATTATTAATACCAGCAACAAAGAGTCACAGTCTAAGTTATATTAACAGCTTGGTTAAGTGAATTTCCAAGATTAGCAGGACTTGATTAACTTCATCTTAAGATATTTTAGCCTTTAAGTCATTTCAGAGCCATTGGAGGTTATCTTCCAAAGTACACTAAGCATGGGCAAGGTACCAGAAGTCTGGAAAATGGTAAATGCAATCCAAGCTTAAAAAACAAACAATACAAAAAGAAGCTTTACTTCAATTTGGGGTAAGGAATGAGGAAAAAGTGGTGGAAGAGAGAACTGGATTTGGGGTAAGGAATGAGGAAAAAGTGGTGGAAGAGAGAACTGGATTTGGGGTAAGGAATGAGGAAAAAGTGGTGGAAGAGAGAACTGGATTTGGGGTAAGGAATGAGGAAAAAGTGGTGGAAGAGAGAACTGGAAAAACAAACCAAACAACTAGAAACTAAGCATAAAAAAGATCAGATTTTTCAAGAATAAAACAGTCAGATCAATCTAATTGCAAGCCTTACAAAGAGGTTAGAAACTGAAATGTCATATTTCTGTTGGAATTTAAATAAATCTGTTGGCACTTTATGGTGAAATATGCTCACAAACATGCTGGGGAAATGGGATATTGAAGTATGAATGAATACAGAGCAAGTACGTACTCTTTGGGTGTAGTTAAACAAAGGTTCACTGCTGAAAATGGAAGTGCTAGTGAAGCGGGGCTCCACCTGGGTCTAGGCTTCACCCCAGTTCCATTCAATATTTTAATTAGGTAGCCTGGGTAAAGAATAGGCTCACACACAGATAGCACAAAGCTGAAATTGAGTTCTCAACCTACCCTTCCCCATCTTCTAGAGTTATGTCACCAAATCAGAGACATGATTAAGAAGAAAAAGGGGCATCTGAAGTACATTCAAGGTTCAGCATTTAAAACATTAATTAAATGAGTCTCCTGCACAAATTCAGAATTGACTATTTTGTTGCTGTGCAGAAGAGACTTGGGGTTTCTGGTTGCACTGAATCACAAAATTCACTGTTGCAGGCTGTTAAGAGTACAAAAGTACAAATCTATTGGAACATAATGAAATGAAAAAAACCGAAAAGACCTGTGAAACATTTCTCCCATCCTACTCAATGTTTTGAAGGCAACAATTGCACAGCTTTGGGCACTTCAAGAAAGATGTGCATTCAGATGGAGAATAGGAGACAACAAGAATGCTCAGGAATTAGGAGACATTGTATGAGACATTCGAGGCCAAAGGCTCAGTGCCGGGTCCTGCACTTGGGTCACAACAACCCCATGCAACACTGCAGGCTTGGGGAAGAGTGGCTGGAAAGCTGCCTGGCCGAAAAGGACCTGGGGGTGTTGGTCAACAGCCGGCTGAACATGAGCCAGCAGTGTGCCCAGGTGGCCAAGAAGGCCAACAGCACCTTGGCTTGTATCAGGAATGGTGTGGCCAGCAGGAGCAGGGCAGGGATCGTCCCCCTGTACTCGGCGCTGGGGAGGCCACATCTGGAATACTGTGTCCAGTTTCGGGCCCCTCAGTACAAGAAGGACATTGAGGTGTTGGAGCGTGTCCAAAGAAGCTGGTGAAGGGTCTGGAGCACAAATCTGATGAGGAGCAGCTGAGGGAACTGGGGTTGTTTAGTCTGGAGGAAAGGAGGCTGAGGGGAGACCTTATTGCTCTCTACAGCTGCCTGAAAGGAGGTTGTAGTGAGGTGGGTGTTGGTCTCTTCTCCCAAGTAGCTAGCAATAGGATGAGAGGAAATGGGCTCAAGCTGTGCCGGGGAGGTTTAGGTTGGATACTAGGGAAAATTTCTTCACAGAAAGGGTTGTCAAGCACTGGAACAGGCTGCCCAGGGAAGTGGTTGAGTCACCATCCCTGGAGGGATTTAAAAGACGCATAGGGACATGGTGTAGTGGTGGACTTGGCAGTGTTAGGTTAACAGTTGGACTTGATGATCTTAAGGGTCTTTTCCAACCTAAATGATTCTATGATTCTATTCTATGACATGACCCTTGAGATAACACTTTAGAAAGGCAAAGTTGTCTTTCAGTGCATAAAAGTTTGCAAAGAGGAAGAGGATTAAATGAACAGATTATTATAGTAAGTGATTATGTGGTTAAACAGAGGCAAGACAGATTTGGATTAGATGTCAGAAAAGACTTTAATGGCCAGGACAGCCAATCACTGGAAGAGACAGGCTTTCTTTCAGGGAAAGTTATACAAACATCTACCAGGGATGCCCTAGGACTAGGCAACAGTCTAAACAGCCTCCCCAGGTCCCTTTCGGGCCAACTTTTTGAACATTTTCTGAATTCCATACCAAATGAGCTAGCAGCAGGTATTAGTATCATCTCAAATACAAATTTGTAAACTTTCATGTGCTTGCCAACATAAAGGATGATTTTTAAAATACATTAAGAGCAAGGAAGTAAGGATGATTAGAGGACTACTTTTTTTTTTTTTTAAATATAAAGTCATGCATTGGCAAGACTAAAGGTTGTTGTGTTTTCTTATCATAAGAGTAGAATACTCCTTAAAGTGATAATGCAGCAATGAGAATGACACAAATGGATCTTCAAGTATGACAGCATAAAATAACCAGAAAACATTTACAATTTTTGAAACAGGGTGTACAGACTCATAGTACTTATTTGAAAAGGAAAGGATTCATTATTAGCCAGCAAGCCCTTCTCCAAGCACCACAAGAGAAAGTCTGGAGCACAAAGCAGTATGGTAAGTGAAGACAATGATTTGAAGAACGCCTCTACTAGTTCACAGATGTTCGCCATAGAGAATAGCATCACAAGACAGTAGGGTGCACACTCATGCCATATTGACATTAAGCAGATCATAGATACTCATAAAAAAAAATCTTAGTGTACCAACCTGTGCTATATTTTTGTTGAGAAGATACACTCCATATTCAAATTGAAGCTTCTCCCCTCCTTTTGGATATAAAGGAAATCTGATGGGAAAGAAAAAAAGAAAAAAGAGCATTTAAGATGCAATTATTCAGATGCTTAAGTAAACTTCAAAAAGCCACAGACTCCTTTTCTGAGAAGGTAAAGATTTAAAAAGCCTCCCTTGCCGACTTCTCCCAGGAACCCCCTCCACAGGATGTACTTAGGAACCCTCTGCATCTCCAGTCAATCAACCTTTAAAAAAACTGATGTCAAAATTCAGCTAATGAATTACATTTTCTAAAGTATTTTAGATTTTTGAAAGATGCTTTATGACTCTCCCAGTGCTGCAACATTCCTCTCACTAAGTGAAGCATGTTTTAAGAAGCATGCAGTATAATACCAGATCCTACCTTATCCTTTTGTATTCAGCCATTTGTATTAGATTAGCTCATTTCCAAATAGAAATAATTTTTTTAAAAAGGTGTTCTGGTTTGATTGTTATTTTGTGATTGAAAGAGCACAAATCTCTTCACACACAGAAGACGTGTAGGCTCATTTATCAACACACCAGAAGACGACTTAGAGAACACAAGGAATTCCTCTTCTTTCAACAAGCTTCACACACGCACCAAAGGCTCAAGTCAGTTACCGCATCATAAGTCATTGCAGCCCTTGCAAATATTATATTCTTAATGTTTATTTCTCCTATTTAATAAGTAAAGCATTTTTCACAATTTTAAATAACCTAGATGTAGCAAAAAGCTTATAAGAAAGTAGCATAGCTTATTTCTGTCTTAACCGCTTAACCAAAACTTTAGTCCCTAAAGCATTGAAACTGTTTGACAGTCTGCATTAAAGAATATAATATAATATAATATAATAAGCAAAGATTCCTAGAACATATGCATAAGCGAAGCAGTTCTCTAACAGTTTTCTTATTTGTACACTGCATTTCTTAGGATTGTCTTTTGACTCTTCCTTACCACCAGAGGTTATGAGGCCATCATGGTCAACGCAGTAACCTTAGTACAAACTGAAATTTATGTTTATGGGAACTACACCATGAAAAGAGTTTTCGCTTTTTCAAGAACCGTATGTTCTGTAGCTCACGATCAAGATGCTGAGCGTATTATCTGCACAAACCCCACATTACATCAGAAATCAAAGTCTCTCTCAAATATAAGATAACAAATACAGGAGATCAATATCTACTAGAAACAACACACATTCTAGAGGGGTGATTACGCAAAGTGTATTTTATCATCAATCAGCCCCACAGTAGAGTACATTTGCAACTTTTAAGGAGAATTATATAGCACCATTAAAGCTAAAGGTTAACAGGTCATGATCACAGCAGATCAAATATTAAGACGTCAGCTGCAAGTTTTATGCTACTTTCAAACCCACTAGGTCACTTCAAGTTGAGGAATATAAAAATCACCGAGAATAGTATATATCTAGCTCACCTTGCTTAATAGATCTATAAATCCAACTAGTTCCCCACATAAGAAAATAAAACCTTTCAAAGTGAACACATGCTACAAAAATTCCACGACGCATTATCCTAAGTGTAAAATACAAATCAAAAGGAATTAATTTCAATATCTACAATTACACTACCCCAATAGAGCAGGATTTAGATTTAAAGGATACCTTTACAATTAACAGTATAAAACTCATTCAAGCTTGACAATAAAAGCACCATTAGGAACACAAGCCATGTTTCACTAGAAGATAGTATTTCATTAAGTCACTAGTAATGGGAACCATGTATTCTATTATTAGACACAGAGCTCTTCAACACATGCAGTATAGAAAAGAGGTTAAAAACTTTTAACAGTGCTCACTACTATCTCCCACACACAGTTTCTTTTAAGTGGTAAAGATTAAGCTTTTCTGTTTATCCCATCGGTCCTGCTTTTTTGCTAATATTCACATTTCTGTCCTTTAACTCCCACTAATTAATCTTGAAAGACTCTAAACTACATATAACCTCACGTCAGCTTTCATAACATAATCATTTACATGAAAGTCTTCAAAAAACGTCAGTGGCTGTCTTTGTGTATGCACATTTATGACTCGGAGAAAAATATTACCAACTTTTATGTCTCGTTCTTTGTGTGTTATCTTGCTTGCCCGTTAAACCTGGTCACAAGCAATAAACTTAAGTAAGAGGAACCACGACATTTTATATAGTGCTTCATTGAGTATAATTGAATGCAATTTTAACTGCTGGCTCCCTACGTGAAATTCTTCTTGCCTGCTCCTTAGAAAAGCACGACTACAAGCTAAGTCTCTCACTTTGGCATGCTGTAAAAAGTTAAGTCTGTTGTGTAAGGTTTTAGTTATACTTGCTCAAAAAAATACATTTGAAAACTACTTTAGTATTTTTATAATCACAAAGCAATCAATAAAGCACAAAATGGCATCTGCCTGCCTATTCTACTCCAATAGGTACCTTCCTTGTTTCCATTCTTGCTGGTATGTTTAGGGGGGTGGGGGAATCATTAAGCTCCTTTAAAACAGAACACAGATACTTACTCTAAGATGACAAGTTCAAAAGAATAAGTGTGATACATTTAGAGGAAAGAAGAAAAAAAAAAAAAACCCCGAAGCTACAGGTGTCTGTTGTGCAATGACCATAAGAGATCATCTGAGAGAAGCTATCAAGTAGTAGGAAACTTCTAAGTACACTCAGAAGCTGAGCTCTGCTCCTCCTCAGAGCAGTACACTTACACACTGTAAGGAAACCACACACCTACCATGCTAGCAGGCAGTAATTATGAACAAAACAGCTTCTGCTCTGAGGTTCAAAGTGTGCCCTTGTAAAAATACGTTGATATTTATCTTACGACTATGGAATACTAATTTTCAATAGTGTGTAGAATTCTTAAACACAGCCCTAACACACCCTGAGTTTACAGTAGATAATTCTATTCCTGTATATAAAGAGCACACTGCGCGGCTGGCATAGAGCAGTAATAATTTTAACAGTGACTCACAAAGAAGATCTTAGTTCAGACAACATTAACTTGATGCAGGGAAAAAAACACAACATTTAGCAACTTGTAACAGGTTAACCCCATTTGCAGTTGTTTCTGCACCTCGTGTTTCCACTGTACGCAAGGCTGTTCTTGCTTCACTTAAGACATCTGACATGTCGGCAATGGCAAGAGCCCGTGCCGGAGAAAAGCACAAGGACTAGTAGTGATAAAGGGAATAACAAGCTAGCAGGCACGTGGAAAGGCAGCTTTAGCATCTACAACAATTGTGCCAAAGATGCTGAAATTAAACAAGTCCCACTCTGAATTCAGAAGGTGGAGAACACCGTATAAGAGTGATCCAAACTGCACACAAGACTGATTTTAACCAGATGGTCAATATGTGCCTTTAAGATCTAAGATAACATATAAAGAGGATTCTTGATCTTAAAAGCTTACGTTTGTTTTGGAAGTTTTATGTTTTGCTTATTTAATCCTGAAGGACTGTGACAAATGCAAAGTTTATTAATTTCTTTGAGTCATATGTGTTCTGTTTTATAGGACTCACTGAGATACAAGGCAGATGACCTGTGTTACCCAGCTGTACCACACTGCAGGAACAGAGGCAAACCCATAATAAATTGTAAAACATACACACGCATTACATTTTTAGACATATAGCTTACCTCCCCTTTCATGGCACGTTGCTTTGGACAAAAGTTGTATTCTTCTACTTGTGATACCACAATGACAGAACAGTTTCTTCCATAGTGAACTAAACCAACATCGTGCCTACAGCCTCAAAGCACACACAAAGCTTATACTTACACTAATACAGTCAAGACCCACATTTCCCCAGTCTCACAAGAAGAGGTTTTGATTGCCATTTCTCATGGGCGACAGTAAGAAAAAAAAAAAAAAAACATAGAAGCAGTTACAAGGCACTTTTAATCATCTCTAGGTAATTTCATTTTAGCAGAGCTTAGAACAGAGATGGCAACCTAGCTGCCTCCAACTTACCTCTCTCCCATCTATCCTGCTTGGAGGGTTCCCAAAAATAAGCATCTCCTGTCTACCTGCAAGCTTAATTCCAACAAGTCCACATCAACTGCTTTATTTCAACCTATCCCTTATTCATTACTGCCACACTTCCTAAGCAGACGTCAGCTGACGGGTAAAGAACTCTTCAGCTTAAACCTGGTTCAAGATAAAACAGCATGGAAGTTGGAAGGAAGCACATTATTAACAGTGAGGCAAGAAACTCTCCTCTTCCATCGAAGGCACCTAGTATTCAAATCAGGTACTATTCTTAGCACTAAAATCTTGTGTTTAACACAACTGGATACCACTAACCGTTAAGCAATTCTAAAAACAAAGAACTGTTGGGTGTTTGAAGTACACAGGGCAACTTAGTTTCAGTCTATTTACACATAAGGAGGTTTTGCTGATAGGCAAGAGTGAGCAAACAAGTTTGAGTGGGTCAAGGCTTAGAGTACTGCTGATCTACATAACTAAACATATCTACCTGTAAGAAACTCAAGTGAGACCAGCAAATCAAAGTGTGCACTCTAGTATCAGAATACAGATTAGTGCAAGCCTAAGAGGAAGAATCTCTAATTTCCTTGTAAACTGCCCAGGCAAACAGGGGTGGAAAAGGAAGAAATCCCAGCTAAAAGGAGTGGCTAAGTGAAGTGTCAACACTGGTATTATTTTATGCTGTAGACTCTATGTGAAAGTTTCTAGAGTACTAGGCCTCATTAAACCCTCCCAAAAGAGTTGTGAAAAGCAAAAAGCAAGGCAAAGGTTATGTGCTTTGTTCACAGAAACTCTGATGGGGAAAAGTAATCCCAAGTCAGCCTTTTAAAAAAAAAAAACAAACCCACACCTAGGGCTGAAAGTCTACCTTTTCTCCAAGTTAAAACCACAGAACCAGCACCCTACCATCAACAATGGAATTAAATTTTGATTTCTTCAAGGATCTTGCAACATTTCACAAATGCTAAGTTTTAAAATAGTCAGTTTGAACATTTGCATAAGAAATACCATTCTGATGGGTATCAAGCTTACACGTAGCCAACTAC